TTGGGTTCATTAGATTTGCCTCATTGAGATGCTTAATTTGATTATAAACATGCAAGATTTGGTGCATTTGAATTTTGATAAATTGGACCAAAATTCGCTAGCACTTCATTAGATATATTATATTGAATCATTTTGTCATATATCATTCATTCAACATTTAAAAACATTACATCGTCTCAAAAGTGAAAGACGTTAAGCTCATTGGATTCATCTTGTTGAGCTGCTCAATTTAGTCATAATCATGTATCATATTAAGACATTTTAATTCGTTAATTAATGTCAGAAAATTTTTAATCATAGTTTGAGTGTCTTTATTTTTGGTGACAGTAAAATATCTCTAACACTCCGAATGTTGTTGCAGAAATTTGATGGATAAATTTCTGATCCATCAACCCAATTGCACTTGTGGTGTCTAGAAATTTGAGATTATGCTTTATATTCACCAATCAAAGATGTTATTGTTCGCCCAACATTGCACTTATATTGGTAGCAGTTCGAACACCTAGCTTAGCCCTGCCCTAGACTTGTTGATTTGGCTGGCCAACTCAAAGATAAATCTTCTAATCACTTTTAGTACAAGCAAGGTCCTAAGTTTGTATTACTCATGATATCTAGTAAGGAAAAATTTGTTTATAATAATAAATTTTTGCATTACTCGTTATTTCTAGAAAAAAAAATATTTATTATAATAATAATGATTATTATTATTATTATTATTATCATTTTGGAAAGATTATATCTTTATTAATATTCCAAACAATAAAAGAATGATACAATCAAGTCCATCAAGGACAAAGTTAAAGTTACAATACAAAATAAGACAAGAAGATACAACAAGTGGTGAAGAAGACAAAAGCCAGCTCGGCTAGTCATTGACAAGAAGCTTTCTCAACCACCCAGATGCTAGGGAAGGATCATTCAAAGGAGGAAGCAAGCAATAGACCACACAAATGAAATGGGCAAAGCAAAATCTCACATCCAAACAACAGCCACCAATCAGAACAAGAAGAGGCACCCCAATGGTTGCCAACAAACCATAAACGTCCAGGTGGTGAACAAAAAGTCGCCACATGATTGCCAAGACCAGAATCCATGAAGGGCAACCCCCAACAACCCAACCAAAATAACCCCCCAAAACAGCCCACGAAAAAACACCACCCACAACAATCCAAAAAACGGAGCCAACTCCAACTAAGCAGACTTCAACAGCAAAAGGAAAGACAAATCCAACCAGAAAAATCATTTCTTTTTGGATTTATGTTGTCTATGCTTACCACTCCTTTTAAAGAAATCAACGTCAACAATTTGAAGAATACTTAAATTGAAGTTATCTCGGGAATTCAATTCTTTCTCTTTAATTTCCTCCCCACCAGCTGAGGAATTGCCATCATCTAACTAGTCACCATATAATTTTGAGCTTAGCTAAACTTTTTTGAGAAAAATTAATCTAATTTAATAAATTAAGATTGATTTATCTTTGATCTTGATACGTCATCACAAATCATCTTGATCAAGCATGATTATGATTCATGAGACATATTTTAATTTGAAACTTCTAAAATTAAATTTAAGACTATCTAAACTCTAATTTTATGAAATTTATAGTCATATGGAACAATAAAGGTCAACAATATCAAAGCTGATCCAATCCAATTCTAAATGAGCCCAAATCAAGGACGTGAAGCGTAGTTAAAAATGTTTATAACTTAATTAGACGACCAAATGATTTTTGAATTTGGTATGCTTATTATTGAATCAAGTGACTAAATGAGACGAATCCAAAGAGCTCAAGCTCACTTTATTTTAATATCATTAAGACACTTTTTTGTTTTCAACAAAAACAAATTTATTCAATAAAGAAAGAGGGATACAATAACAATAGACCAACAGCCCAAGATACAAACAGTAAGAACACCCTAAATCAGGCAAAGAAGTATAAGCAGCAAAAAGGGACTCAGAAATGGAGCCCCCCCACACCAACCTTGCAGCCAAACACAGATCATCCATAGGTGTCAGTAGTACGAACACAGTCCAGAATCCACCAAGCAACAAAATGAGGCATCCAGGTTGTCAACCAGTCCAGCCAGTCAGGGGAAGTAGGGGGCATTCTCATCATCGTTCAGCCACAATCTAAAACCATCAACGAAATAGCAAAAACCAAAAACCACACCCTATTTCTTCTTGCCTTTTCTTTTATGATTATTTCCACCCACATTGGAAAAGTCATGATCGATAGAGAGTTCGATTATTTCCTCCTCAAACTCCTGAAAATTCATTTCCACCCCGCCAGAAGGAGAAACAAGGGAGTCCTCCAAAATCAACCAATCAATTTGAAGCAAAACAGAGTTTTTCTCAGACTTAGTCATATGGGTTTTCATTTCAAAATTAGACATAATAGAAATAGGGATATTAACAAAATTGGCATTGCCCTCAAAACCATCATTAGGAGTTAAAACTGATTGCTCATGAACCTGCATATTCGATGCCAGATTAATAGAAGAAGAGACATCATCCATACTCTCTATAACCATTGGAGATAATTCCACACAACCAATCAAATTCCGAGTAGGAGAAACAGGTGAACCAGAAGGCTCAGCGCCCACACAATGCACATCATCCACAGCCAAACCGCACGGTGCAGACATAATATCCGCATAAGATAAAGCAGTTTTAGAATTCAAACCACATTTCAAAACACCAGGCTCGCACGAACATAATCGCAGAACCTAGGCTACAAGAGTCACTCCCTCCAAAACCACAACAGAGTCCATCTAGACTAAATTAGAATGAGAATTAATAGGACAAAACCCCTCACAAACCACAACATTCTCATCGCTATTCACTGCAGGGCCTAGTTCTAAAGGGACAGCAACCAGAGCATTCGCTGAATCCCCAACTATAGGATCGTCACAACAGGGGAAGGGGGAAAGGAGGAATAACAACAGAATTATTAGAAATCTTATTAGGTACCCTGTTAGAGTTAGGCATATCAGCCACATGAGGATGATAATTCCCAACCGCATGTCCAATACTTTTACAATAAGCACAAAAAGAGGGGAACTCATCCATAAACACTTGTTGGACATAGTCAAACTTCTCAGAGCCTAACCACATCTTATCAGGGTAAGATTTGATGATATCCAGCTCCACTAAAATACGAGCTAAAGATGGCCTGGATCTAATAGACGTAGCAAAATCTATTTTCAAAGATTTTCCAAAGAAAGAGGCCAAACCGTGAAGAATGCAGGGAGGTGGGGGTAGAAGAGGTGAAGACGCAATTGCGAAAAGGAGACCCAAATCGAGATCATCGGCAACTCCACACCAACATCGACAAGGGGCGACCACTTAGTAAGCTTCATATAACAATTATAAACCAAATACGATCTATGATAGAAGATCATACAATAATCAAGATCGTTTGCGAGCTTGATAAGAATGTGTGACTAATCCAACAGGGTGACCGAAACATCTCCATTTAACTTGAGATTGAAAAAAAAATCTACGAATGGTATCAAGAGAGGGTCATTTAGAAGGAAAAAAATCAACTAACGAGAACTGAAAATGCTTAACAAAAGCCTCAATTTCCTGGTCCGAGATCCAAAGGGAAGGCAAGCCATGAAAGGAAGATGCCATAAGTTCAAGAAAATCAGTGAACGAAGAGAAGCCCGTAAGAACATCCAAAAAAGAACGTGAAGATGACGAACCCCCTAAAAACTAGGGTCGCAAAGCTTCAGCGTCATCCAGCACACACCGGAACCGGAGAAAAAAAACTAGCAAACCAAAATCAAAACCAGAAAAGAAAGGAGACTTCCCTAGAAAATGCAGAGATGACCGGTGCCACCGAGGTGAGCAACCCAGCAACGCGGATTGCGCCGGAGGAAGCTAAGGCAAAGCCCTAGCAGAGCGTGCGAAACGACAGAGCGAAAAAGCACAATGTCATATCATTAAGACACTTAAATGCTAGCAACTCTTCATAATCAAAGGAATCATTATAAGTCTTCTGATAGAGTGTTCTTGAATTTCTCTATATTTACGAGCATATCATTCTAAAAAATCTATAAATAAGCCCTCACTTTTTACATGAAGGGGAAGGGAGCTAAAATCTTAACTTTTGCTTGAGATTTAAGAGAGCTCAAAGACTGTGAGAATCCTGAAGCACCACCAAAGCACAACTATTGAGCTACTGCATGACTATTTCCATCAAGCATTCGCCAACCAACCACATTGGTCCTCTGACCTTCCATTGTCCACCAACAACAACCATCGAACCACTGTCTCTTGGCTACAACCCTCCTATTACTATCATCCAATTATAGTTCTCGGGCCTCTATCTCCCTACAACTTTTCTTCCGACCACTCTCATCTGATTATTTCCCTTCGATTTATGTCACCCGCCGACTATTGCCTTTTAATCTCCATCACCTGACCATAATCCTCATATCACTCTCACATTATTATAATTTTCCGACCACCATCGTCCTATTATGATCCTGCCTACCTCTATCATCCACCAACTACAATCTTCAGACATCCAACAAGGTTGAATTTAAGACAATTTTATTTTAAACCTAGAATTTTAAATTATATAATACAAGATTAAATTTAATAATCATGGATGTCATAATGCTCACCCAGCAAACTACCTTTAATCAATCAGAAGCTTCCAGCTTCGTCGGGGTTGTAGATTAGAGGACCATTAATCAGCGACGAGTCAATTAAGAGAGGCCGAGCAATAAATACCATATGCGACCTTTGTAAATTAATAATACTACACCAAAATCTTAAAAGAAAAAAAAATTTGTTTAGAATAGCCTGGCCAAAGTTTTTATTAGGAAAAATTGTAATTTATTTAAAAATAAATATAGTATAAATTATTTATATATTACATACATCTCAAAATATACTAAGATTATAAATTTTATTCTAATTATTTTTTAATAAGAATATTTTGGCATAAATTTTTATTTCCATAAAGCCCGCCGACGACCCCATCCGCTTCACGAATCATGACGTTGAGTTATTCTAACAAATCGTATAGATCCCAGTGGATCCCATTAGGTAACTCTTACCTTCCCTTTGATTTGTCTCGCCATACTCTGCTTCCTGGTTCTATCGCTTACGCCGCCTTCGCACGGCTGTTTAGTTGTCTTCGACTCTCAAACTCTGATCATCGAGAATGACGGCTTCCACCTTCCATACTTTCTCAGTCTCTGCCCAGTCGCCCAATTTACTCTCTTGCTTGCCTGTTCCACTATTCCACTTCCACGTTGACCTACTACTTGCTGATCTGTACCTCTACTTATTCTACTTCTCCGCCTCCCCTCAACTACCAAGTTCGATGCAACTCCCCCACCTAGCTCTGTGACGATCTTGGTCTATTTATTCAAGCTCAAATTTTTCTTTTTATACTCAATTCATCTGCTCTCAGGTCGCTAAATCGCCTGAAAAGTTTCCATTTTGAAGAGTTGTTTCAGTAATTTCATGGCTTTTGATGCGATGACCGAGCCACCGATGGTAACCAGCGAAGATACGTCGTCGCCGCCGCAGCCGAGAGTGGAAGGGTGGGCGAAGCGGAAGCGGTCGAAGCGTCACCGTTACTTCGATCACCAGCCGACGGAAGAGGAGTACCTTGCTCTCTGCCTACTCATGCTTGCGCGCGGCGGTGCTGACCAACGTCTCCCGCCGCTTCCGTTTACACCGCCGGCGGAGGGTCTTTCATACAAGTGTTCTGTCTGTGGCAAGGCCTTCGCCTCCTACCAGGCCCTCGGCGGCCACAAAGCGAGCCACCGCAAGCACCCAGGCGGTGCAGTCGATGACGCGGCCTCCTCTGCCTCCGGTTCATCGGCCGTTATTGCTTCTGCAGGTGGAAAAGTTCATCGGTGCTCTATTTGTCAGAAGGAGTTTTCGACTGGGCAGGCGCTGGGCGGGCACAAACGGTGCCACTACGACGGAAGTGGGGCAGCTGCCGCGGCAGCTGCGGCGGCGGCTTCGTCGTCTTCTGAGGTGGCGAGCTCGGGACAGAGGGAATTCGATTTGAATATTCCAGCAGCGGCGGAATTCGTGTTTGAAGGCAGCTGGAGATGCGTGGGGACGGAGGACGGGGAGGTGCAGAGTCCTCTAGCGCTGAAGAAGCCGCGATTTCTTATCCCGGCTTGAGAATCTATTATCTTTTGTTCCATTTTTGTTGCCTAGTTAGCTGCTGACAGCTCTCTGCTTTGGTTGATTTCGTTCTTGTATAAAGAGAATGGTTGGATTCTTTGTAGCTTAGACTTGAGACTTGTTGTTGTTAAATTCATTGCAGCAGAACGAAATTGCATCGTATGAATTTTATTTGTTGTGAATTAATGCCTCTGTACATTTGGGGTGATTACTCTTTGCAGACGTTAAATGCTGTTCATTATCGAAGATCAACTAGGATGCGTCATGTCAGCGGTACCGAGATAAGTACCGAGCTACGGTACCGAGCAGTATCGAGTCGGATACCGAGCAGAGAGTGATGTGATGCAGTCTTATTGATTTTCGAACAACGTACAGAATAATTTCACACAAATTGGGCGATTGCCAGTGACGCCGGAGCTGAGCCGTTGATCATGTTGAACTTCAGAGTCATTTAATTTCATATGATATTTTGTATGGCTATATAGATGTTATGCTTTCTTTTGTTTGTGTAGCCTAGTATGTTGCTTCTTTTGGCTATAAATACCTAGCCAACACTTGTAATAGGCAGATTTTGAGATATGAATATGATGTGAGTTTAGTCTCATGTGTTTCCTTTATCCTAAGAGTGATTCTTAGGTGGTGGATCTTTCCTCCAAGAAGTTCTTGGAGTGGTGTTCGGCGACCGTCACCGGATTCATCCACGTCGAGCCCCCTACCTGGCCAGTGTCATTTGGTATCAGAGCCAATCCGCCAAGTGTCTGGATTGGCATCATCAGGTTCTTCCCGTTTCCTGCAAGCCATGCTATCCGTCCCGGAAGAGTGCTGGGCGTGATTTTCGTCCATTCATGTGTCTCATCTGTGAGACAGGTTTCCATCTCTTCCTTTCTTGCACTTGGGCGGTTTCTTTCTCATTCAAGCAGGCAAGAACCGTGGAGGAGGCTGTTGTTTAGGCTGCCGTAGGGAAGTTTGTTGGAAAAACTGTGATTGCCTTCACGCTTCTTTGCCGGCTTTGCTGCTGTCCGGTTTTCAAATCTTGTTTCCAGACAGCAGGCGTTTCTTGAAGACAATAGATGAAGGAAAAATCTCAAAGGTGGTGAAGAAATCATAGTGCAGCAGCAAGAAACAAAGGCAGGATAGGAAAGTGGAGGTGTTTCAGAAGTCCGACAGTTAGCTAGACTTCAAGGCAGCAGGTGTTCTTCCTCGATGGCATCGTTAGCTTCACTTGGTGGAGATGTCGGCCTCATTTGGTAGCTAGTTTCTTTCCCGGACAACAACCAAGAATGCTGTTGTCAGCATATTCTAGCCACCAAGAATCATAGAATTTCAATTCTTGGTCCAGAAATCAGCAATAAATAGAGCAATATGTGGCCTCGTTGGACTCGACAACGACCACGTCAAGAAGAAGAAACAAATATCTTCTACAAGAAATTGCCCGACTCAAATTAAGATTGTCAAAGATGGAACAAAGATCCTTACGAACCGACGACGACGATGAGGGTATATTAGATGATCAGTTCTCTTTTGTCGGCAACGACATGTTTGAAAGATCACCTAGTCAATCTTCTACCCCACCCTCGATCGAGTATAGCTTTGAAGAATTTGAAGATCCATTGTCAAAATCGGCGTCTTTGCCTCTCTACGACGAGCCAATATATGACGACGACATATTTGTAGAAGTGATCTTAATCAACCCGTATATAATTAAGATGCGAGCAAGGTGGATACATCTCTGGAGGTACTTCAAGATGAGTATGGAGGATGGTTGAGCCCAAAAATCATTGATGATTTCAAAGAACTAGCTGATGTATGCTTTAAAGAATTCGGTGATAAGGTTTCCTATTTGACCGCTATGAATGAGCCTAACATTAACTCATTCGTCTCCTTTAATTATGATTTATTTCCTCCTCGTCGATGTTCGCATCCTTATGCAGCTGAGTTGTACAGAAAAAAATATCCAGAAAGATTTAGTCAACCAAACCCACCTCCTTCTTGTGGCAAACCGGACATCTCCCTATGAGCCTGAAGTTCCTCCTACCCCGGTAGTATGACGCCGGAGCTGAGCCGTTGATCATGTTGAACTTCAGAGCCATTTAATTTCATATGATATTTTGTATGGCTATATAGGTGTTATGCTTTCTTTTGTTTGTGTAGCCTAATATGTTGCTTCTTTTGGCTATAAATACCTAGCTAGTACTTGTAATAGGAAGATTTTGAGATATGAATATGATGTGAGTTTAGTCGAAGTTGTTGAGTGATTGAGCATATTTTTTAATTAAAAATTTATGTTATAATAAGCATAATCACTTAGTTTTTTTTTATATCAATATATTTTCAATTAAAATTACGTAAATTGTTAGAGTTCATAATTTGAATACTCTAAAAATTGGGACGTAAAGCTCACAATGCAACATATGCAGGTATTTGCTAACGAGTCCTACATTGGGTACCCATATACATACCAACCCACATATCAACGCATATCCAATGGCTATAAGTGGGCTTGGGTATGCCTATGACCTCATGAGTGGGTACTTAACATCGGAGGATAAATCAATTTACATTGTTAATCACCATATGTCGTATATTATCGTAATCCTCACTATGTAGTGCGCAGCACTAAACCGCATTGCGATCATGATAAATTCTAATGAAATTATCTTCAATCGGTCCTCGAAATATTTGGATGTACAACAAAAACAAAATTGGATCATACTTGAACGGATGGTCCCATAGTTGATTTTAAAGATTTATCAAAAGAAAATAATAGCAGTAATTAAATAGCCCATTCCAAAGATTGAAAATTGGCATTCCACTTTAGGGTGCATAGTATTTCAAATGCAGTAGTTCTACAAATTTTAGTATTTGGTTGGAATATAAAATGATACAAAGTAAAGTATAGTATATGTAATGAAAGTGAAGTAGTATATTTTAAATATAAATCAAACTCCTTTTATTTTGAGTGAAAATGTTTACACCACAAGCTTGCTTGTTCGCCACCCAGTGCCAGCCACCGTCGCGCTCTGCCGGTCGCTGCCACTGGCTGCCCGTCGATCACCATTGCCAGCCATGGCCACCACTACCACAGTCACCACTGCAGCTACCATACCACGTACTGCTTGCTACTGCCCACCCGTCATCTACCACCACAGGTAATCATTATTTAAGACTTTACTCTATATTCATTAATTCTAAACAAAAAAAAAAAAATCATACACTTACAATTAATTTACATTCATCCAAATAATTTCAAATTATTTCTTTTACACTATAACAGCCTCTAAAGCAAATAATATAATAATTAAATATAATATTCTAAAGATCCTTTGTTTCTCTGACTGTAAAATAAAATGGAACAATGTAACACAATAATATCAGTTCAAAAAAGCCTTAAAAAACATTAAAAAAAATGCACTGTATTCATCTGCTAGGGTTTTTCCCTTTTGCTAGGGCTTTTGCCCTAGCCGCCACCGCCCCGTCTCCGTCTTCGGCTCCGGCTGCCCTGCTTTTCATGGCAAATAAACATTTAGATCCTGTGTTTTTGGAGGGTAAGCATTCGAAATCCTTCAAAGATGTTTTGTCTGGTGCCGATGCTTCGAAAAGTTTTCCTGATTTTCGTATTTCTACGATTCAAGGGATGTCGGCTTTGTGGTTTTCGGAAGATGAATTTTTACATATTGCTAAATCTTTTGAATTTGCATTGGTGGGGAAATTTCCATTTAAGCGGCCTGATTTAGATTCAATCCGTAAATTTTTTTTCAATCTTAAATTATCCGGCGATTTTTCTGTCACTGTGTTGGATCAGTCCAATGTTCTGATCAAACTCTCGAATGATCTTGATTATGGGAAAATTTTTGGGCATCGCTCTTACTTTGTGTTTGGATGTTTCATGAAAGTTATTAAGTGGTCGCCTTATCTTGATCTTTCGGAGGAATCGCCTATTGTCCTTGTTTGGCTCTCGTTTCCTGGTTTGCGTCCGCATCTCTTCTCCCCCCGAATTTTTTTTGGTTTGGGATCTATATTTGGACGCCCGATTCAAACTGATAATGCTACGGCTGTTGGCTCTCGTCCCTCAGTAGCTCGCATTCTTGTTGAAATTGATATTTCTAAATATTACCCTGATTCCGTTTGGCTGGGTCCAAAGAAATTTGGCTACGTTCAAAAAATTATTTTTGAAGGTATGCCAAATTTCTGTCTGCACTGTAAGGCTGTGGGGCATAAAAAATAGGAATGTATTAAGCTTTTTCCTCACTTGCGTCCTGTTGTCAATGTGGCTTCCTCGCTGGTTGATCCTGTTTCTAAACCTGTTGTGACCTCTGTCAACCCTATTACTTCTGCTAATGGCCCTCTCTGTGAAAATGACTTGGTTAATGTTGAAGTTCCTTGGCTCATGGGGTGTTGGATTGTGATATTAATGCAAATGTAGTGGTGGGTGATGCGTCACCCTATGTTCATTCTCCGTTGGGTGAGCATGGTGCTGTAGCTGGGGGTTTTAATGAGGCTGAGGGCTTTAATGCGGTTGGGAGTTCTCTGGACACATTAACTGCTCGTGTTAATAATAATGTTGTGGAGGAATGTCGTACTGATGTGGCTGAGCTCGATCAATTGAATGTTTCGTCGCTTGCGCTGGGTGAGGAGATTTTGCGTATGAGTGTTAATGAAGTCTCTGGTGGTTTGGGTGTTGAGGCTTCGGGTTCTCCTGCTGTTAATGTGGATTTCAATGCTGAGTGTGTGCGGGTGGATACTTTGAATGGTATTTTGGTTGGTTCTAACAATCTCGTTGATGTCCCTGTAAACTTGGTCGATACGAACACTATGGTCAATCGGTTGGGTGTCAATTCTGGTTTTGATATTAGGAACCATGGGGATTGGCTACATGGTTCGTCT